TTCTCTTTGCGTATTTCTCATTATACCTGATGCAAAATAGAGCTAATTGTTTCCTTGTAAATCTTTCCCTCCTTTTCCCTTCTTTTCTCTCCATTCTCTCAGCTTTCACTGTTTGCTGAAACGCTTTATGAAAAGCTTCAGTATCAGATGGGATGCCGCCTGTTGACATTTCTCCAGGTTGGTTTAAGACATTTAATCTGAATATGCATATAATTTGATATTTTTTATTTTTTATTTTTTATTTTGTAATGATGCATCTTCATTTATGTGAGTTGTTTTTGTAGAAGCTGCGAATAAAATTTGTGATGAAACGAAACCAACGTAAGAGGCAACGAGAAGTAGAAAAAGTTGAGAAAGGAAATGATGAAAACTCACCAACGAAGCGTCCGAAGATAAATGAGCTCCCTGTGACGAACCAGCCTGCTAAGTCATCTGAAGCATTGAGTTCATCTCTGCTAGATGGTGAGAAACAAGATGAAGAAAAAACTGTTATTGAGGAGAATAGTTCTGTTGATCATGTTGATGAGGTTAAGATGGAGCATATAGCAGATGATGAAGAAGACCCAGAGGAAGATCCAGAAGAATATGAAGAAATGGAGGATGCTAGTCCTCATCCCTCTAATGAGAATAATGAAGAGGGGAAAAGCAATGTGATTCCTGTGCCTGGAAATGAGAAGGACGAACCCAATGTTAAGGAACAAGCTAACACGAAGGCTGCAGAAACAAAGGCCAAGGCCGAAGCAGATACAGGTGAAAGAAAAGAGGGGAAGGTGGATACAGGAAAGAAAGAAACTCCCAGGGCAAAGGAGGTTGTTGACAAGGAACTATTGCAGGTATACCTTTCAGTTATTGTTTTAGTTTGATTGCTGAACAATTTCATTCTCTCTCCATCAATCCATTAATGCCATCCTTTTTCTTTTATACTTTTCCCATCTGAAACAGGCTTTTAGGTTCTTCGACAGGAATCAAGTTGGCTACATTAGGGTAAGTTGCAATGTTCAATGTATATATTCGTTTTGTTGCATTATTAGAGAAAAGTAAGAGCTTGTTGCATTTTCAGGTTGAAGATATGAGATTGATAGTCCACAATTTGGGAAAATTCCTTTCCCACAGGGATGTCAAGGTGAGAAGTATAAAATTTTGTTTTGTTGCTTCATTTTGTTTTTAGTGTATTCTTATCTTTGATAGTTTGGTCATGCTTGTTTTTTCTGCATCAGGAACTTGTGCAGAGTGCATTATTAGAGAGCAACACCGGAAGGGATGACCACATTCTTTACAAGAAACTGGTGCGAATGACTGACTTTTGAGATCTGAA